TATCAGTAGCTAACAGAGTGATGGCTTTTCTTTAGTTTTTAAGATATCAAAATACTTCTCAAGTATTATTAAGTATACAAGCAATATATTTTTAGAGAACATAACTATTTTCTCTATTAGCCTTGTTACCTAGGTGGCACTGTAAAGCATGGAAAAGATGTTCTCTTAGGTGTGGTATTACATACTAGTATGCAGTATTTAGTGTTTAGGTTAGATTCATAGGCTTTGGCAGAAAACTAGTGCTCCTGCAGTGTACTTGATGATATCTACTGTAGAAGACAGAACGTGAAGTTAGTGTCCAGAATAATACACATAGGGAACTCAAAAATTCTGCTGGGGGAGGAGAGCACCCAATCAAGGAATACTGTAGTCACGTGCATTTGCCCTCTGCTACTCTGCACCTGACTACGCACAGTAGCATGGGAAAGAGCAGTGCAGTCAAAGTTAGACACCATGCTGAGATAACAATTTTTGAAGCATTGGTGGATCTTTTGAGGTGACCATGCCTGTCAGCTGGAAAAGGCTGTGACAACACTGGGAGAAATGCTTGTTACTGGAATAAAATGAGTGAAGTGACTTGAACACAAGAAGAAAATACTGCGTGGACAAACCACAAAGTTTGGCTGTGGGAAAGCTTTCTTGCCTTATTGAACATCTTAAAATAGATAAATAAATTGACTGTTAAGCAGTTAGCAGCATGGTCTCTGGGGGTCATGAAGCCTGCTTGAAAACAAGAATAGATATTGCTGACCGTTCATCTGCAGTTGCAGGAAGGGCTTGGCTAACCTGGAGTTGAGTCATCTGTATTGCAAACAGATAATAGATGGAAATGAGGTTATTCCAATGATAGACATTTGTAAGCGCTGAAGCACACGTTTACTAGCTTGCTGCTAAGCCTGAGTACTTAGGGCTATAAATCAGGCTATAAAGTTGTGCCAGGGCTCAGAAAAAACATCTGTAGTGGAAGGACACGAGAAGCAGCAAAATCAGATCTGATTTTGCAAGTTATTTCTGTAAGTGTAGGCAATTTTAAGTACACACATAAACGTTACTGAATTCAGGAGTCAGGTACACATTCATAGGTCTTTGCTGACCTAGGACATAAATTACTTTATCAGGATTATAATTATAGGAAGTGTCTGAGGTTCAGCCAACCTTTAGCAAAGCTTGCAACATTGGCTTTCAGTCCAAAGTGCATATATCTCATTCATTTGAAGGAACTCCTTAATGACTTAGTCTTGTTCCAGACTGCCCTTCTTGCTTTGAAGATGAACAGTATCCCATGCAGCTTGCTCTGTGGGTGATCTCTGAAAAACACATTCAGACTCTCTGATTCTGCTCTGCATGGGTATTCTCCTGCCCTTCTTATAAGTGCAAGTGCTTCCATTGTGTCCCAGCCAACAATTTCTCCAGTCTCCACTGTGAACTGTGCCCTGTGCCTCTTTTACCCTCTTGACTGCTGCCTTCTGTCTTGGAGATGTTTTTTTTTCTTTTTTTTTTTTTTTTTTTTTCCTCAGAAGTGGAATAATTCTTTGAAAGTGCAATTTCAAACTACTTCATTAAGGATTTCAATTGCATATAGCAATTGCAATTGCATGCAATGCATGCAGTAACTCAGTAGCACAGAACCTTAGTGACAGAAAAAATAAACTTCAGTATTTTTATTTAAAAAATTACTAGTGTAATAGAAAAGTACGTGAACAGTTTAAGAGACAGCCCCTTGTCCCCCAAACAGCCAATGAAACATTCCAACAACAAACCCCCTTTCATATAAGGGAGGAAAAATGGAGCTTCTTCGTCAGACTAGCAAGTGCTGGGGATTACATATTTTAAAGCAAAGACAGATGAATAACATCTATGGCTCATGTTTGTGACAGAAGCTAGCCCACATGATGGCTTGTGTTCAGCTCTGTCATCCCAGGATGATCACTGGGAAGAAATCAGCTCTGGGGCACAAATGTTCTTTTCCCTAAAATTATATCTTATATGCTCTTTTGGTTATGTATCCTCTACTTACTCTTATTTATTTTCTGTTAACAAATATGTATTTGTGTTTTCCCAATTGTTACCGAAAGGAAATATTCCCAGGTATGTTAGGGAGACAAGACAATGAAAAATGTGTTATACTGAAGTGACAGAAAAATTATAGTGGAAATTTTCTGCATTTTTTTTAATTCTGATTTTTTTTTTTTATTCTGAACAACCTGCAGAGCCAGTGATTTAGCTGGAGGAAATGGATAATAATACATTTTTGTTAGCTTCATGTAATTGACAAAAATTAATATATTGACAATGTAGACTGAAAGAGCATACATTATTTTTTATTGTAATGAAGGTAACTTTGGGGGATATTTTTTGACAAATTTTGGTAGTTTCGTATTGCAAACAGGCTTAAGCAAGAAACTAGTATAATACCTATATTTATTCCTGTTTGGTTTCTTTCTGGGGAAAATAAAACCATGTATTTCTTGTTTAAGATCAGCTCAGATAACTGAGACTATTATGGATGCAGAAATTTAATGACAACATTGAGGATCTTTGATCCTGGTCAGCAACAAACTATTTGCTTAGAAATGCCACAAGTATGCACACTCCCACCCAAACTCCCATGTTCATCTCTATAGAATTTTAGTGGAATGCATAGAAATGAGTTCTTGCCCTCATTCTGAGGGGTTTCTGTCGATGCTGCTATTGTCTTTGATGCGAAGTGCCAGTGTAGTATCTTAGTGACCCATCACAAACTGTAGTATTCATAGCTGTCCCCCTGTATTAAAAAAACAGGTTTTGAATTCTACTGAATTAATGTGTGTGTGTTTTCAGGTTTATTTGCATAAAATAACTGTATATTGGTGGGAGGGGGACTCCCTGCCATCTCACTTCAGGAATCTAACTTGTGATTTTTTGCATAGCATTTGAGGGAGAGAAAGAGAGAGGCTGCCTGACTCTTGAATAGGTGCTTTGAGTCAATTCTTGAAGATTTTCCATTCTCCTGGGCTCTGCAGATAATGGCTTGTAACAGATGGTCAAGGTGGGCAGCATTGGTGCCTAATCCTGTTACATGGGAAAGAATTTTCTGCAAAACTAATTTTTCTTCTGTAAATACCGAAATCGTCGTAGAAAAGTAACCGTTCACAGTGTTTGCTTACATCTGTACAGCTGGTGAGTCAGACCTAGCACGGTCCTGAGACTTCAGATTCTTAGTTCTCATCTCAGCCTCATGTCTGCAAATGCAGGTTGGGAGCAGTGGGTTAATATTCTTTTTCAGAAGCCTATTTACTTTCATATCTCATTATAGTAATTTTCAAACTCAGAAACCACCAATGTGCAGTATCACTGGAGATCTGCTGACCTTACAGCTCAGCTAACACGCCCATACTGTGAAATCTTGGGATGCCCTTTCATAGGTGGTTTTTTTTGGCACTTCTTAAAAGATGAACTCAGTTTGCCCTCAAGCTAATGGTTGCTCTGGAGAACGACAACCCAATTTTTCACTCTGGCAAGATGTACCAAAAGTTTTAGGATGGGGACTGCTCATTTGCCCAAGTTATGTGTGGTACCTGCATCAATATACTGAGCCTTTTCCAGTAGGCTACTGTTGCCGATGAAGACTTTTTACTGCATCTCACTGTGGCCTTTGGTTCACCCTGATGAAGTTCTCCTCTGGGAACTATGTGTACTGTAGCAGTACCAAATTATGGAAGTGAATTAGTGAGCTGTTACTGGACACTGATTACAGGAAAAAAAAGGGGGTTGCAAAATAAAAAAGGGCCTTGAAGTGCCAAGTTCCTGTAGAAACTTGTAATACTGTAATGCAGTGGAGGGATGTGTTCACAATGAGAACAAATTGCTTTTCTCAGTGATAACTGTCTTGTATTTATGTAGCATTTAGTAACAATCCAAGGAAAGGAGGAAAATTTCTCTTGCCCTTCAGATAATACTTCCAGTCTTGCTCGAATCTAGAACTCACTGTAAGCTTCAGATAAGCTACTTGGTGCAGGAGCTCATGGTACACACAGATCCAAGTAACTTGGGCAAAATATGTCTGACATCAATGTTATTCATAAAGCACATTTTTATTGACTATACTGTAGCTCAAGGTTGGAGAGGACTGGCAGCATCAGGGAATGTCTGATAGCACCCTCTAGATGGTTGACTTTATCTCGCTAAAGCAATGCTTAAATGGTTTATTTTCCCAGAAGGGTGAAGCTGCTGAATGGTGCAGCTGTAACCAGCTGGGTGGCTGGGAAAGGAGCTGCGAGTGAGTCACTGGGCTGTGAGCTGGTCCATCTCTGAGAGGCTGCTCTCCGTGGGAGAAAGCAAAAGAGAAGGCGATGGCCTCACGGCTGTGCCTCTCCTCTTGCTACTAGAAATAAAGCTGCTCTATGGTAGAAGACGGAGGGCAGGTAGAAGGAGCCTTTTGTTTTCTTCTCCCCAGTTCTTCTGGAGGAAGAACAGCTCTGAGAGGAATGGGAGAGGTTCCCCTCAGGCAGGTCCCCTGTGCCCGCCACCCCCCTGGGCCTCAGGGAGTCACTTCTGCCTCAAAACTTCAGCTGGGATTCTTGATGGATTAAAAAAAGAAAAGGAAAGAAATCCTCTCCACTGTGGTCAGTGTGCTATTTTGCCTAGAGCAATAAAGAGAGAGATTTCATTGTGTAAACCTGTATTTAATGATAGGGGAGGTGCTCAAACAAACTTACATTACCATAATTTTTACACATTACTAATAAGCATCATAACAGCTCTACATTTTAAATAAAGTACTCTCCACGCTGCTTCTTAGTGAATTTTTGTTACTTCTGCTGTCATTATTTCATTGTTATTGAGAAAAATCTCGTCTTACATCTAGTTTTTCCTGTGGTTGCGCATTGCCTCTTTTTCCTGCTGTTTAAGGTAGCAAGAGAAAGATTCAGAATAGTTGCACAACTAGTTTCACACTGATACGTTTAATCTGTTGTAAAAAGATGACACATCGTTTCCTAATTTTTTAAATTATATTTCAGATACCTCTTATATCTACAAATAAAAAGGGACATTTTCCATGGCCGTTTGCTGTGTTCATTCTCTGATGCTGCATACATGGGTGCCTGTATTGTCCAAGGTATGTACAAGCAGCAGGCTTCTTTAAATACTCAACTCATAGGTGTGTTCAGTAGAAAGAGAAACTCAGTTGTGGCAATATAGCTAGCAATAGCGTATATTTTTTTTTAGTTGTACTGTTTCCCTGCATTGTCATGCACTGGAAAATGTTGTAAGTAATTCAGCCATTTAGCCAACTAAAACCAAACTGGAACTTAAATTTAAAAACAATGGGTTGTCTTAGCATTTAAGTGAAAAAGTATGGCATCAATATTAGATTCCAGTTATAAACAAAGCAAAATTCTGTTCTGAATCCTGAATGTAAATGTGGCCTATTCCATTTGAACTAAGCAGGAAAAAGTGTCATTCAGTGCCCTTTCTTATGGTAAAGAAGATCTGTGTGATGATGGCAAAAATAGTAGATGTAATTCAAGGAGAAAGGTCTTTTCTTTTTTTCCTTTTTTTTTTTTTTAATTCTCCCCCTCTTTCTCTGCATCATTTTTGTAGGGCCAAATTCAGGTATATGTCTTGGATTGCACACAGAGAAATAGTTAGCTAGATGTCTGATTAGGGACTATCATGTGTGTGGAAGTCGCCTTCATTCTGCCTTAACATGAATTAAGCTCTTAATGCCGTACAAGTCCAAACTAAGACTGAGCCTAGACCTTATTAAAAGAGGCTTATTTAGAAAATGAAAACACCAAATGCCATGTTTGGGTACCTAAGTGGTGCATCTTTCAGAAGAGTAATGAAATACTGTGGGCCACCTTAAATAATGTTACAACCTGTGTTTCTGTGCTAGAAAAGAATTAAACTGGCCCATATCAGCGAGGATAAATTGGTGTGAAAAACAGGAGAATCTGGACTGCATTGTTTTAGTTCTGCCTGGTACCAGAATGACAGGTACTCAAAGGGGGAGCATTACCTATGCCTCTGTTTTACAGAGCATATTTCTGCCACAGAAAATAGTTTAGGATTGTTAATTATTGCTGCAGTTAGTAAACCATGAACTCATTGATTGAAGTGGCAGTTATAAGTATTTTGTTGTTTCAGTTAACTATGAATTCTTCAAAGGAGCATTTCTTGAGAGATGCTGGATTCTTACTGATGATGGAAGTGTCTTGATATTACACTGTATTTACTGACTTTTTTCCTTATTAACTAATGTTGCAATTTAAATTTTCTGTTTTGCTTTGTATTTCGGATCTGTTTAGCTGAACTTGGTGATTATGATCCTGATGAACACCCAGAGAATTACATCAGCGACTTTAAGATTTTTCCCAAGCAGTCACAAAAGCTCGAGAAGAAAATAGCTGAAATGCATAAAAATGAATTCAGGTAATTTAGAATGCTGTTTGGTAAAGACACAGCTAAGAAATACTTCTATCTGTATCCAAATAGTGTATGTTAACTTAGAAGGGTTTGTTCCTTGGATTATAAGAGGTGCTTTACCAATATACTATCTAATATGCTGTATTTGAAAATGCGGTTTCAGCTTAGTGGGTTTTCTTTTCCTGTTAACCTTCATTAATCATAGCTGATTCCTGCACGTGTGTTGGTAATTTAGACTGCAGTTGCTTGAAGTGTAGGTCTGGTTAGTGAGAGCGGCTCACATCATGAGTGCTGCTCTGGTTGATTAGTGGAATAAGATCTTTCATTTAGGGATGACACTTACGTCTTTTGCTGTGAAATTTCTCTATGTAGTGCAATTATAAAATTCGTCATAGATATTGACCTGACTGAAACTGTAATTAAGTTATTTTATCTGTAGGTTATTAACATAGTGGTGAATTGCAAAGAAATGTCTTTAAATAACTTCTTTGGAAGACTAGAGAGGTGAGATTCAGAACTCTGCATGCTCTTTTTCTGTCCTAAACTTTTAATAGTGTGACAAAGGGGAACGGAGAAAGATTAATCAATCTTTTGGTTTCAAAGTTGAATGTGTCCCTGAAGTATGGTGTGTCAGAAGAGTAGTAGTGCGTTGTGCAACTATACCCTCTTCAGGATTGTCAGCGAATGACACGCACAGCAGTTGCGACAGTAGCTTGCATGATGCCCTAGTCATTTTGCTTAGTTCAGGATAGTCCTCAGAAAACTTGGAGAGGAATAGGATGTGAAGAAAATCAAAGGAAAGCAAATGATTCATTAGATGAAGTAGAAGGACAAGTTTTATTCAAAGATTACAAGTCTCTGTGCACTTGCTTAAAACCTCTATGTTTTGTTTTCATATTGCAATGTATGTAAATGCTTTGCTTAAGTATATGAATACTATTTATGCAAAAATTAGATTGTAAGACACCAAATTCCTGGGAAAAAAAAAAAGAAAATGAAAAATACCTTTTCAGAGGAGTTAAAGCTTAAAACACTTTTTTTTCCAGAAGCATATCAAATATGTTGTTCAACTGAAGTGCAACATTCATGACAGTAAGCTTGCCACTATTAATGCGTCTTCTCTTTTTTCCTTCCTGAAACCTATATACTTTTTTATATTTCTTTATCTGTATCTAATATTTTAGAGCAGTCCAGGCTGCACTTTACACAGACCCACAGAAACAGACTGTTAAAAAAGAAAACAGAATTTATCTTACTTTCAGTATTGTTCCATACAGTGGCTGCAGATTTCCAAAGGATAAATTCAGCCTTCAAAAACCAAGATCTTTCATCAATTAAGCCAAGGTGCAATTGAAAAGATTTTGATCCATTCAGTCTTTCAAGAACAGGCTAGTCCTTTATTTAAAGGTGGGAGAAGGGAAGGAAGGGTGGTTAGCCAAAGCTGGTGTTTTTTGTATTTTATAGCCCTAGGAGAGATGTATTTTTCTGTGGTGTTTTGGTTTTTTTTTTGTTTGTTTGCTTTTTGTTTTTTTTTTTTTCCCTTTTGTGCATAATTCTGCCCATCCATTTTGAATTTAATCTGCTAGTTCCTCTATTATGAATAATCAGGCACATTTTTTAGCTCATTTTTTAACCCTCCTTTCCTGTTAGTGTAATGTTCCTGATCCTGTGATAGTAAATGTTACAAGCCTTCACACAGGTCCCTCTGGGATTCTCCTAGTCATGCATTCCTCCCATCAATGCCAGCTCAGCATGTAAGGATGTCCACTAAATTTCTTCAGTAGTCTTAGTGAGGGACACTATTCATTATTGCCTTTTGCAAATCAGATGGTATTAACCCGACTTCTTTTGCCTGTGGATCTGCTGATTGCTGCAAAGAATTGCAGGAGGTGTTTGAGGCATAACTATAGTTTATAGCAGAACTCTCCTCATATATCCCACTTGTATGTATATGTTCCTTAATTCTCTTTCTATTCTAGATGTTACCAATTTGTATGTTACGAATGCTAGGCTCAGCGGATTATAGCTCTTTGCGGCCCTCAGGAACTGTTTTCTTTCTTTCCTCTTTTCTTTTGCTTATGTCAGCATCTGATGTGCCTTACCTATTTGTCTGGTTACAAAGACAGTTTCAGGGCTGTCTGGATAGCTACTATCTGTCAGTTTTCCACTGTAGCTCTGTCTTCCCAGAATTGATCATCCTATTACAGTTTTTACATCAGACATTCACTACTCACATAGAAGTTTTACCTTTTTCTGGATATTTAATTCCGTGGATCTCTGTTCTAGGACTATAAATTAATAAAACATATTTGTCATATAATGAACTATATATAGAGAGGTCCAGTGCTAGATGATCAGATTTCCCTATCTAGCTGGAAAAAGATGATTAGAAAAACCACTGAGCTTACAGGCTTCTGTCTGATATTGATCAGCACGTCTGTTTCCCTGCATTCAGCAAGTTGAATTTTCTGATAAGAATTAATATTTTGCTGCTCAGTGAGTATTTTTAAAAATGCTGCAGAAGGTTCGCCTGGCCTTTTTGTAACAAGATACTTGAGTGATGTGGTAGCTGAGAGCTAACATGTAAGGAGAGCAGAAGACACTAAGATGTTTTTATCCAGCTGCCAGTCTGCTACCTTCAGAAGAATTACTTCCGAGTTTGAGCACTGCAAGTTCTTTGTTTTCTTCACATGTGTAAATAAACAAAGATCATAGCATCTCTCTCCTGCAGCAGGCTCCCGTATAACTAAAGCCTGGTGACTTGGAAGGGGACAGTTCTTCACTGAATCCTGTCTCGGCATCCTCAAGGACTGTTTACTGGGTACCTCTTTTCTTCTGTCCTGCAGCATAATGGAAGAATTTTCCTTTTGAAAGGCGCATGAAGACAGTGAGGGGAATGTCTGGGAAGCAGCAATAGGGTACTGTGACAGCTGCCAGTGACTTAGTGACTCATCTTGTGTCATTTAGAAGCCTTTTTCTTATTAATTAAAACAGATGTATGACATGGTGCCCATATTTCTTATCCTTTGTGGCTATGAGAACATAATTGGATTTTAGCAAAATATGACCTTTTATGTGACTTTCCACTGCACCTAATTGCAAAAATATAAGTGTGACGGACAGAAATGCATGTCAGCTTTATTGAGCTGTGATTAATTGTCTTCTGAACTTTAATAAACTGTTCTGCCCTCTTTGAGAAAGAGAGAGGTACAGGAATAATTTAATTGATCCTTACCAGTGGTGGGGCAAACACCTACCTTGATTTTGTCACAAAACCTATTCTCATTTTCCTGTCGTTCCAAGTTAAGTCCTCTTTTGAAACACGCTATACCACTGGGAGGTGAAGAGATAATGCTTCTATGATTTAAGTGTTAGAATATGTGAGGGTGCACTAGGAACTGATGAGACTTGGAGACTTGTTCTTAAAAGAATTAAAAATTGATTCCAATGTTATGTTTTTGGGTATCGTTACAATAGAGCATGGCTACTGAATTAATAGCTGTTTGCATTTTTGTTTCCCTGCCACGACTGGAAACAATTTGGGCCATAAAAATCTAGATATTGTGTGAGTGTATTCTGGTATACCTTCTTCTTCAAGTGAAGTGAATGCTAAGGTCCCTCCCCAGGTTGTTGATTTGCATGTCCCTTATCCCTTTTAGTTAAATGTGTGCAAGTGTTTGTAAGGTTGCACTGTAAATCACATCAGTGAAATGATCCAGGTTAAAAATAACTTATTTTCTTTTACTTGACTTCCACACAAAAGTACATGGAAACACACGTTCAGTTCTCACCTATTTTGGCAGTATTAAAGGTATTTAATACACTGCATTGTGCTCAGTGTATAAAGCCATAGCTCTTTTTTATTTCTGGTGACCAAAAGCCCCCAGCTTAACAAAAATAGAGTGAAGAACTCTGTACAGATTTGTGGAAAATCAAAACAAAACTAACCCATCAAATGAGGTTAAGCAGAGTCATTAAATCTTCTAGGTAGAGGAGAAGGCAGCTGCGTGAAAGGTTAATTCTTCAAGCATAACAGCAGGGATTACTAGGATTACTGGGGTTTTATGTGAAAGATCACTGAGGTGATCTTAATAATCTCTTTGGGATTTGAGATTTTGTTTTGTTGTTTTGTTTTGTTTTTTTTTTAACATATCAGGAGTTTGCTTCTTTCAGATGTTCCCAAAACAGTTGTACTTTTTCCATGGCAGAATTAGTACTGATTGTTTGTTTGGGAAACCTGCATTATGGCTGGCCCAGTGTTGCTTCTAGCTATTGCTATTGGATTTTGTGGGCTCCTCTTACAAAAGAATGGACTTTGTACATATGAATGCAACTGTGTCAGTACTAGTTCCAAATCAACTTTGGTGGTGTTACAACTGTGGGATTTGCTTCAGATAACCAAATAAAACATCAGATGTTTTTAGTGCAGTCACATTCCTTTCTCCGTTTTCCAAGACAAAAATTCCTTCCTATGAATTTATATCAAATCTTATGTCCTTTAACAGAACATGTGTTACTCTGATAAAATTCCCTGGCTCTTGAAACATACCAGTCAGCCAGAGCTCCCTGAGGCCAGACACCTGAAAATACAGAGATTTCCAAACAGAAGATCCACGTAAATCCCTATCAAGGGAATTTATATTTGTAGGAATCATGTTTTTTTTCCCCTTTTTTTCTTTTTTGAAAGGACTCAGTGGTTGAGAACAAAGATTTTTTTTTTTTGGTATCCCACCTGAAAACTAATGATCCATTTTTACTTATTTCTGATATGAAATATTATGCCATCTAATTTATAGGGAAGTGTTATGTAAACAGCCATTAATTCATCTGAAAGCCCTATGGAAACATTAAGTTTGCACAGTAAATTATAGAGTTACATGACCTGTTCAAATGCCTGTTTCCCAGGCTGAACTCATATCGGTAAATGCAAGTTACTTATTTTTGCTTGGGATGGCCAGTGTGGATACAGGCTCAAGAAGGTTGAGTGCTACTGAATTGGCTGTCGT